ACCAGCTTTCCTGTCCCCCTCTGCCTTCTAGCCCGTTTCCCTGGACTGCTGTGCCTCATTAGTCCCATTTGGTTTTATGGGGCTGTCGACTACCCGGCTAAACGGTGAACCTTGGAAGTGACTTCACCACTGAGCTAAAAGGGTGTCTGGGGGCCATACTCTCGGGGTTTCTCCAGTCTCCTTTAGGCCAGTAAATCGTTTTTTTTTCTTTTTTTGCAAGTTAGAATTTTGTAGAACATTTTCCTTATGAACTGTGTTATTATGCCAGTTGACTTAGATGTCACTGGAGACCATGGTGCCCAGCCCTTGGCCCCAGTTAACTCGGTCCCTCAGGGTGTTTGGATGTGTCTAGGAAGCTTCTGTGACTTTGCTTTGGTCAAGTTGTGCTGTCTTCCCCTATATTGTGCGTTGTCTTTCCCTTCACCAGTATTAACTTGTCTACTATCTAGTTAGTGATTTCCCTCCCTACCCACCCCGTCCTTCTTAACCATCAAAGATTTTTTTTTTTCTTTGTGTTTGTGACATCCCACTGTCACAAACACCACCTCATCCCACTCCTGCTTTCTTTCTTTATTTACTTTTATTGTGCTTCAGGTGAAAGTTTACAGCTCATGTTAATTTGTCATACAAAAATTTATGCACATATTGTTTTGTAACATTAGTGGCAATCCCCGCAATGCCCCACTCCTGCCTTCTTGATTAAAACACATCAGTGGCTTCTCGTTGTTCTTAGGAAAAAGACCATAAATCTTAATTTGACCCACAAGGCCCTTCATAGGATGGTCCTGAACTTCTCAAGCCTTCCCTTCAGGACTGTGTTTGCCCAGGATGGCACAGCTCTGACATTCTTTCAGTTGGATGTACCACATGCCATACCTTTGCATGGGCTGTTTCCACCGCCTGGAATGCACTTTTCCTTTATTTGCTAAATACCTATTCATCTTTCAAGTCTCAGCTTAAACATATTTTTCACAGGGAATACTTGTATATTCTCCCTCATTATATCAAATCTCTCTTTCCTAGCTGCATGTACTCTTGTAAATTTTCAAATCATAAATTGGATTATTAGTATCTTTCTCTTCCATTAAACTGTAAGCTTCATGGGAGCAGGGACCATGTCTGTGTGTCCTCACTGTTGTATCAGGCACTGTGCAGTGTCTGGCACATGATATATACTCGGTAAATGATTGAAGAGTAGATGAAGATAATCCCATGGTGTGGGCCACATGGCATTATAGAGCAAGATTCCACTTTAGGTCTTTTAAAAATAAAGATGGTTGTGTGCACTTAGTAGGAGTCCTGGTGGCTCAGTGGTTAATCACTTGACTGCTAACCAAAAGCTCGGTGGTTTCAACCTACTATCTGCTTCATGGGAGAAAGACGTGGCAGTCTGCTTCCATAAATATTTACAGCCTTGGAAACTCTATGGGACAGTTCTACTCTATCCTATAGGGTCGCCATGAGTCAGAATCGACTCGATGGCAGTGGATGTGTTTACTAACCTAAATCATTTCAAACCCAGTGCAGCTAGTATCGGTTTGGTTCCTGGATTGGTGGGGACATTATTTATTTATATATATAGT